CTGTAGCTATTATAATACATTGAAATGAATCATATTGATTTTTCCTCTTATTCTTTTTCAAAATTATTTTGTTTATTTTAGCTCCTTCATATTTTCATATTAACTTTTAAATTAATCTTGCTTGAGGCTGGGAACTTAGCTCAGAGGCACAGTGTCTGCCTGGCAAGTGCAAGGTCATGAGTTCGATTCCTGATACCAGAAAAATCAAAACAAAACAAAAAACCAAAAATGTTACTTATATCTACAAATTTTGGTAAAAAGTGTGTTAGAGCTATATGTTGAGAAGTCTGTGAGTTGTGGTTTAGCTATTTGTGGAACCGATTTGCCTAAAGGTCTTCTCTATTGCATTTGCCTACATTAATATTTATTAAGATACATTAATTTTTATTAAGATACATATTTGTGTTTAGGAAGAAAGTTTTTCCTTGTCTTGAGATAATGTCTCTCTGGATAGAGGGCCAGGCCTAGGCAGCTCAGTGACAATGAGGACCATGTGATACAATGGCCAGAGGGACCTCTTGGCCATAGCCATTCTGGTGTGGTCACTTAACTGAGGGGATTTGATGCAGCCCATTTATTTTTTTTTATTTTTAAATTTTTTTTATTTTTTTTGTTTTTTTCTCCAGTACCGGGAACCGAACTCACGACCTTGTGCATGCCAGGCAGGCACTTTTGCCGCTGAGCTAAATCCCCAGCCCCTGATGCAGCCCATTTAAAACATAGTATCCTGCTTTATTTCCCCTTTGCATTAACAACAGACATCCCCACGTTATTTCTAATCCACTTTCCAACCATGGGAGACTTTTTACTTTCAATTTGATTTTGTACTTTTGCTCCATCTAAGAGGTGTTTAAACTTTTAAAAAGTCTGAATAGGTAATACATTCACACGGGTAGAAATAATAAAACAATTATAAAGAAATAAAATACAGCTGCATCTTTACAGCCACCCTACTCATGTCCATCAATTTTGCTCTACCCCAAACAGGTAAGCATTTTCGTTTTTAAAAATCACTCCAGAGAATGATCAGCATATGTGTTCACTATACTTACTTACTTTGGAATGGTGTCATCAATATGTACATAAATTGAAGTTTGAGTTTTGGTTTATTACTTTGTCTGACTGTGGATACAATGTATGATCTCACTTTATTTCACTTTTTCATGGAAACAGATCATCATAACTTGTCTTAGCAGTTAACAGCTTTAATTTTTTTAACATTAAATTTTGGTAAATTTTGCCCTCATTTTCTGTTATTCATATAATAATATTGTTGAATATTTTGGCTTAATTATAAGGCTTGGAGATTATAGTAGTTTATGCCTCGATGTCCCCCTGAAGTCTCACGCACTCCTAGGTGGGGCCCTGGCGAGGTGACTGGATCCTGAGTGTGTGATACTCATCACTGCATTCACCCGCGGATGGGTTTCTGTCTGGGGGAGATGCTGGGAGGTGAAGCCTGGTGGGAAGAGGGAGTCACTGTGGCCGTGATCCGAGAGGGTGTATGCCTCCCTCCCCCTCTGCTGCTGAATCCTCTCTGCTTCTTGCCACCGTATCCTAAGTGTTTTTCCTTTGCCATGCCCCTCTGCCATGCCGCCGTGGACGCAGCTGACTATGGATTGAAGCTGCCACAAACTGTGAGATAAAATACACCGCTTCTCCTTTAACTTATGGGTGTCCAATATTTTGTCCCAGCAACAACAAAGTAACTAAGACACAGGCTATGTGTTTTTTCATTCTGATGATAGGTTGAGACCAAGAGAAACAAAGGAGCTCGTTCAAAGGCAACCGGCCAGTTTGTGGCAGAGGCCAGACGGGAACAGAGGCCCATTTCTAGGGCTGCCTCCTGCCCACCTCTGAACGTGCTCATTGCTCCAAGATGATTCAGATTTATTATTAGCACGGCTGAAATCCATTATAAAATTGTTTCTGCCATCCATCTCAATTCTCTGCTAGTCATGCAGCCCATCCGTTATAGATGAGGATTTCTTCCTTTTGCTGACAGTTTCATGATTTGAGTTGTTTCTGCTCTCTTAGCATTTGTCCAGTTGAGTGATCAGTCCTCAGATCTGAGTCCACTTGGATTGGGGTAATATCTTTCCAACCAGAATGAGCAAGTGAATAATTGAAACTTTTATTAAGGATGAGACTTCTTTATTATATTATATTTATTATATATGATCATTTCAACTTTCTGACTCTCTCTTGTCAAATTCATTCTTCTCATTATCTTCTTTGTTTAATATTTAATTTAAATAGGCTGTCTTCTGTTATGCAGGAAAATAAGTTAGCATGCCCCTTAACCAATACTACTTTTCAAATTTGGTTTGGCTTGTATTAATGTAATAGTCTGACCCCTAGTGGTTATAAGAAACATCTACACTGCTCCTTGCAGGAGAAAATTTTGGCTTTTCCAAAAAGTAAATTTCAAGCTATGTCTTCTTTCTTAAAAATAAATAGAATATGAAAATAGAAAATTATGAGTTTATCACAGAAATACTAATAAAATAGAAATTTAAGAAAATTGAGTTTCTATGAAAATAATTTCCTAATCTTTTTTTAAAATTGGTTTTAAATCACATATGATCTGTTTTTACTTGTAAACACATGTATGTTCCAGGAAACAATTCTATGCTTTTACTGGCATTTAAAAGTTTTTTCCCCTCCAAACTTAATGTTTTAAATTGTTCCAGAATATCCCTTTTTGGTTGTTTTGAATTGGAATTAAGGTTAGAACTGGATGAGATTTTTGTGGTCTGAAATTTAAAGACTCCCCACCCCGCAAAGGTCCCAAAAGTGAATTATCATCACATTTAAAATGGCTCTCTATCTTTCATAGGGCCCTCACATCTAGGAGGATCTGCCCAGCTCTGGCGCACAGGCTAAGCTTGATTCTTCAGAACTGGGAGACAAAGTTATGCATAGGAGAGGAGGAGGGTCTCAGAAGTGCAGGCCTGGGAAAGAACAGACCATAAACATGATAAATGTGCTGTGTGCTCACAGTAAAATATCCATACAGGATAGTGAGCTAAAGTAAAAACTTCTCCTTCCCTACCAGCTCACAAATCTATACCTTAGAAATATTTACCACTTTGATGTATGACCACTGATTTTTTTTGCACACACACACACACACACACACACACACACACACACACACATTTTTTTATACGGGTTCACAACATACATACTCTTCTACAATTTGTTTTATTTACTTAACAGAATGTCTTCAAAGGTGTTCCAAGTCAGGATATTCTTATGGTCTGTTTACCTAGTATTTTGTTGTGAAGACATGACTTAATGAACTATCATCAATTAAGTAACATACGGATATTTGTAAAAATTTTCTGCTACTGTACATAATGCTGCCATGAGCATGCTTGAATATCTAAGTACAGACTTATGCAAGCATATCTGTGATGGTGATTTCCACTATCGTGACATTTTAGGCCAAAACTTGTGCCTAGTTGGACAATTAGTTAAAAACACATTTTTGAAACCAATATTGTCCAGCCTCATTTCTTCATAGTTTCATTGTTTCCTGTCACTCCCCAGGGCCCCTGAGACTTTCTGTTTCTCTTCCCCTCAGTCTACCCCTGCCTCTTGTCCTTTCTGTACACTTGAACCTTTCTTCTCTGAAAAGAATGAAGTGTTCAGCCGTGAATTTCTTCATATTTCCTTATGTATATTTGTTAACATCTTTTACTACCTCTCTTCATGTTTCCTAGACAGCAGAGGAAGGAGAAGCTTTCTCTCTTCCACTTGCTCTTTTTGTGTGGAGGGGGTTCTCTTTTTACATTTTCTGAGGCATTTTCCAACTAGGCACCCTTCACCTATGCTTTTCTAATCTCTCCTGTTTTATGTTGCCTTTCTCCTTGGCTTATAAAGTTTTCTCCTCTATTTTTTAAGTAATATTTCCAAGATTTATCTACCTAACAGTGATTTTAGGAGGTATTCAATGGCAAAAGGAAATATTTTTAGTTTTTTTCCGGTACCGGGAATTGAACTAATGACCATGCGTTTGCCAGGCAGGCACTGCACTGCTGAGCTAAATCTCCAGCCCCAGGAAAATATTTTAAAAGTAAGTCTAGTTGTCCTGTTTGCTTTTGAATATGTAGAACTCATAATAGGTTGTTAAAGCTACCAAGAGGTTCTACAATGATGAAATCTGTTTACTTTTGTGAACAGGAGTATATTCTGAAAGTATTTTACCGTAAAACTGACTCTTTCCCTTTTCTCTTGTCAGGTTTGCTGACATCTATAAATATATTTTGTTTCCCTTGACCATGTGACTCTGTTGAATCCTGACTTTCCTTCCTTCTAAACCTGATTTTTTAAGGCTAGAGTATATTTCTTATCTGAACTTTAAAAACTAAAGCTGCTTGTTCCCTGATAACCCTTTGCAACGTGGTTTCTACCTTGACCATTCTGTTCAAGTCCACTTGACGTGCTCTTAGAGATTCTAAATGAGATTCTAATAGCTGAATCCAAGAGCTTTCTCTGTCTCCATTCTTTGTCATTTTGATGTAGGAAGTGATGTCATAAATGGTGTTATTCTTACTGTTCTCTCTTCCCTTTTCTATAGAGACACTGTATTGCCTGCTTTCTTTTGCGTCACTCACTCTGGTTTTATGTTTTCCTTTGGCTTCAGTTATGTATTCAACGGTACTTATTAAGTATCTCTGGACGCACTGTTGGGAGTACCGTAGTAACTCAGACCCTCTCTGCCTTCGTGTAACTTCTGCACAGTGTGTAAATGTGGGAAGAACACAACCTCCCTTCTAAATGCTGGCACTTTTTTAGGTTTTTACGTGTGGCATCTTCTCTCCTTGCCTTCCCTCTTCTGCATTCTCACCCTTGGTACCCCATCCATTCCCGAGGCTGCGAACGTCCCATGTACATATCCTCCTGCATTATTCTTCTCTCAAACCCCAGGTTCACATTCCCAAATGCCTGCCTATGTCATTTATCTATGTCCCAGCAAGCACTGAAAGACTAACCTCTCAAACCGAAAGTCTCTCCACGTCTTCCTCCTCTGACTCCGTAAGATGCTGCTCCCACTGACCTTGCTGTTCCCATTGATGGCGCTGCCGGGACAGCCGTGACGGCGGAGGTCAGTCGCTAGCCTTCTCTCTTCTCTTTCCTGCGCATACCCTTGGCTGCCAAGGCTGAAGATTTTGTCCCTTCTTGACTGGGCTTAACTCTTCCAGTACTAACTCCAGTCTTCACTGTGCTCCCCCACTGTTAAAATCTCTTCTTAACTGAACGTTCTAGATTTTGTCTTCTCCAGTCCATGTATATGTGAATTCCAAAGTAACCCCTTTATGGCATAACACTTTTTGTAATCATTGATTTTAATGTTTTTGTTTCTTTTCTGCCTTCATCACATGCAAGTTCCACGGTCTAGAATTTGAGACTCTCTCTGCGCCAACTCACATTTACGTCCCACTAACTCCTGGAAATCCACCTCAGCTGTCATCTCCTCCAGAAGCCTCCTGGTCCCCCAGCTCGCCTCTGAACACTGTCGTCTGAAGACCCACTGGCGCGTTTCTGGTTCTGTCCTGTACTGCGGTGATCTGTGTGCCTGCACCAGGGCCTCTTTGGTATCATCTGACTCTTCTTTATGTCTCCAGTAGCATGTGACGCTGGGATTTGTCCTCAGTACATCTTTTTGTTACATTTAGCAGGAAGTTAGGAGTTCTGTGGGGTTAGTTAGTCTGATCTTGTCTCTTCTTCACTATTACTTTAGGTGGTTACTTGTTGTACTGTAGTAATAACAAATAATTAAAAGTGCACTATTCTTCATGCCCCATTGTGAAGGATTTAAGAACCAGAAATCAATGGCCTCACTTGCCCCTCTGATAATCTGTAAGCAAACATGATCCAGAACACTTGGTGGATACATCTAAGAGTATTTTGAGAGAACATTTCAAAGTACTGGCTGAATCTAAACATAAAAACAAGAGGTTTTTATGAATTTACTGAGTTATTGAACAATTTGAGGCCATTTGCCTTTTTCTTTTTAAGAAAACAATACATTTTTTTATTACTAAGTTTTTTTTTGTTTAACTGTGAACAAACATTTCCATTTGATAAACACAGCTCTGAAATCTCTTCATTATCTGAACCCTTAAGCTCAGCATAAGCACTGATACATTTTAGCAATTCTTGTCTTTCCCTCTTGCCTTCCCTTCCTCCAATATTTCTTTAATTAGTCTGTGTTAGCAGTGCAGAATGGTGAGTTTCACTTGAGGGAAATCTGGTACTTGCATTTACTCATCTGATCATTTAAAATTTTACTACGCCTTTCTTCCTTCCTTCTCATTCTCCCCAACAGATTTCTCCACCTCTAGAAGTCCACCTTGTAGTTTTACAGTGTCACCACTGTATTTTATTCATTAACAAATTTTTACGTTTATCATAAAAGAAAAAACATGTCATGTTTTAACTTTCTGTGCTTGGGTTGTTTCAGTAAGCATGATGGTCTTATGTTCTGTGCATTTTCCTGCAAATAATATAATTTCACACTTCTTTATGGCTGCATTATGTCCCATTGTTTATACATACACCACATTTTTCTTTTTTTTTTTTAAATTTTTTTTTTTCCAGTACCGGGAATTGAACTCACGACCTCGCGCTTGCCGTACATCACATTTCTCTTATGCATTCATCTGTTGGCAGGCATCTGGGCTATTTTAAGAGCTTAGTTACTGTGAATTGTGCCACTATAATATGGGCATGCATTTATTAATTGATAGAGTACTTTATCTTTAATTCTTTAATTCTTTTGACAGAGTACTTTACCTTTAATTCTTTTGTGAATTGTGCCACTATAATATGGGTATGCATGTATTAATTGATAGAGTACTTTACCTTTTAATTCTTTATAATAGCTATACCTATTCTGGGTATAGCTGGATCAAATGGTATTTCTATTTTTAGTTTGTTGAAGAGTTCCTGTGCTGATTTCCATACTGATCGTACTAGTTTACCTTCACACCAACAAGGTAAGAGGATTCCTTTTTCATCATATGCTTGCCCCAGCACTCACTGTTTTTTGTGTTTTTGATGATAGCTTTTGATGGGCTAAGAAGGACTCTCAGCATAGTTTTGATTTACATTTCTCTAAGGGCTAAAGATGTTGAAGCTTTGTATACATTCAGGTATTTGTACTTCTTTTGAGAAATATCTATTCAGTACATCTGCTCTTTTTTTGTTTGGGTCATTTGTATTTGGGGGATTTTTAAAAAGGTTTTTATACATTCTAGATACTACTTCATCAGAAAAACATTTTCTCCCATTCTGTATGTAGGTTGTCTCGTCACTCTGCTGATTGTCTTCTTTACTGAGCAGAAGTTTCTTAATTTGATGTAAGTAAGCCCATATGTTGATTCTTGATATTATTTATTTCCTGTGCTATTTGGTTCCCCTTCAGGAGGTCTTCTCTTGTGCTTACAGAGTTAAAGTATTTTCTCTATGCCGTCTTCTAGCAGTTTCAGTTTTTGTTTTCATAGCAGATCTTTGACCCATTTTGATTTAATTTCAATACAGGGAAGGGAAAGGAATCTAGTTTCAATCTTCTGCAAGTAGATATCCAGGTTTCCCACCATCATTTACTAAAGAGTCTGTCTTTTCTCCAATACATGTTTTTGGCATCTGTGGCATAATCAGATGCTGTTTATGCCTGAGGTTATTTCTATGTCCTCTGTTCTAGTCCACTGGTTTACATGTCTGTTTCTGTGCCAATACCATGTTGGTTTTTGTTACTATATATTTGTTGTATAACTTGATATCTGGCATGGCGATGGCTCCAATCTCTCTCTTTCTCTTTCTCTCTCTCTCTCTCTCTCTCTCTCTCTCTCTCTCTCTCTCTCTCTCTCTTTCTGGGTTGTTTTTGCTATTTTGGGGTCCTTCCTGATTTCATATAGATTTTAGGATTTTATTTTACAAGTTCTGTGAAGAATGTTGGCATTTGATATTTTCCTGTCTTGGAAGCCAGAGGTTGAGGGGCTTTTGGAAAGTCTGCTAGCTAACAGGAAATTTGCAGCGAGGGAAGAGGGAAAGGAGGGCAAGTAAAAGTAGCAGCAGTTTCTTTTTAAATTGAGAATTGCCTAAAGGAGATCCAGAACTCAGATACTAGTTCAAGAACCTTCCACCTGACTGGAATATGAAGTTGAACATTTAGAAGCTACATGTTATATAGCAAGATAATGGTAGTTGACCATTATCCAAATATTTATTTTTCAATATACTTTATTTTCAGATATTTCCCACAACTATTTTTGGGAGGAAAAGCAGAGTTATTTGTTTTCATGGACAGGATTCTTTCTAGTCAGTGGATATGTTACATTATTTTTGAGTTGCTATGTTTCATCATCTGATGGATCTTAAAGACTCCTGGTTTCCTAAAAATGAGGGAAATCCTAGTACAAAGTGATATAAGTCAGTAGATGTCAGAGTGTCTTTGTTACTTTCTCATTGCTGGGACTGATTACCGGACATTTACAACTGTAAGAAGGAAAGGTTTATTTAGGCTCATGGTTCGTAGAGGCTAAGTCAGCTGGCTCCAAGGCAGAGCAGCGTGGCAGAGGTGAAACACTGATGACATGGCAGCGGAAGCAGAGAGACACCAAGGGAGAATGGAGGAATACGTATTCCTTCCTTTGCAGGCCATGTCCACAGTGACTTGCTTCCTCTGACCAGGCTTGCTTCTCAGCATCATACTCAGCTGTAAACCCATCAGTGGTCTAATGCACTGATGAGTATCACATCCCCATGATCCAGTCACCTCCCAGAAGCATCACCTATCAGCATGTGGGGATTTGGGAAAACAGCTAGGCATAAAGCAAGACACAGAGCCATCACGACAATGATGTGAGCTGCAAGACAGAATCGAAGGTCAGAGATGTCTCACTGCTGAGGCAGAAAAGTAATTTGCTTGTAAAAACTCACACCATCTGTGGAGGTACAACGTATGGTTTTGCCTTTAGTGGCACTGGCCCAGGACCAGCCTCCCAGATTTACCTGGGGAGAATGCTTTGCCATGCCTACTCCTGGGTTAAAATTGCTTTTGAAAATTTCCAATGAGTTTATAAATTTGTTGAAAATATTTCTTTTTAAAATATCTGTAGTTTTGAAAGCCTTGCCTACTGTATAAAGTCACCAGCAGCTGTGACTGGAGCATGTTGCTAACTCAGGATGGGAAGGCACCATCATTCTACAGTCAGAAAGAAGTTCAGTGAGGGCCCCTTTTGCTGCAAATTAGTGGCAGTGTTGGGGATCTGGTGAGTTCTTGGGACCTATGATTTTGGTACTCACCACTCAAATGTAGTGGTTGAAAAACACTGCTCCATAACGCTATGTGTGCAAAAGTTATTCCTTGCAAAAGATATTCGGGGCTGGGCTAGGGAGGTGTTACGCTTTGTATCTAAGTTGTCCCCTAAAAGGCCTACATGCTCAGAGGTGGGGATTTTGGAGGGTGATGGAATCATGAGGGCTTTAACTGTACCTGTAGATGAATCCATTGATGGAGTTATATTCTGATGCCATTATTGGGAGGTTATGCACACTCAGGAGCTGGGGCCTGCTTGAGGGGAGTGGGTCCTGTGGGCCTGGGCCTGGGCCTGGGGATGCTCCCTGATCCTGCCCCTCCTTCTCTGGCTCTTGCACTCTCTCTGCTCCATCACCCTTTCATCATGATGCATCTGCCCGACCAGACACTTGAAAGCAATGGAGCCACTTGGCTATGGACTCAACCCTGTGAAACTGTGAGCTGAAGTAAATCTTTCCTGTTTGTGTCAAGTGCTTCATCACAGTGATGGAAAGCTGACTAGCACAGGGCACAGAAATTCAATTTTTCTACTCTCCTTAGTCCCATCACCTTCTCTATGTGTGTTCCTGAACTTGAGTTTTATAAAAATCAATCTTCTTCCCTCTCTGCCTGATGGTACAGAACATTCAACATTAAGAAAGATGTCATTGAAGAGAACGATGTGCTGAGAGGGCTTTTTATTGATTTTCAATTGATTTAGCTCCTATCTCTGGGCTTTCAGATGCTCTCTCTTCCTATTGAAATTAGATTTTACTTTTTGTTTTCAAGCTGAACTTGCATGATGCAAAAAAAAAAGACTATCAGAGCCAGCGCTGGTGTAGCAAATTGAGTGAGTTACTTTGAAGTTCATACTAAGGGGCACTTTGTGTAACTCTAAGAGTCAAAGGAAGTTATAGGAAAAGGGAAAAGAGAAAGAAAATGGGAATTGAAAAGAAGAGGTGCTGTGTAGCATGACAGTAAGGAGACGAGTGGCTCAGGATGCATATAGTGAAGACAACCTGAATAAGACCCTGACAGGCCACCTGTGTGATGAAACGACCTCCACCACCCACGATCTCTGGGCGCTCATGGAAGATGAATGTAAGTAACTGGAGAGTGCTCCTGAACACCGGGAATGAAAACATCCATTGTCAGGGTTCAAAGCAGCCCTGCTCTCAGCTAGTCTTTGGAGAAGTGGACAAGAGAAGAGAATATTTTACTATGAGCTGGACAGAATGATAAGTCACAGACATCTCTGGGCCAGTGGTTCTCAGTGAACACCTTCAAGATGGCAGGGACCTGAGATGAGCCCTGGATCCCGGAGCAAAGGGACCCTGAGCTGTGAGTAGTTGCTTTCATACTTACTACAATAACCTCCCCACCCTTGGAAACCCTGACAAAGTAATTTTTGTTGTTGCTGTTGTACTGGGGATTGAACCCCAGGACACTCTGCCAATGAGCTACATCCATAGTACTTTTTACTTTTTTGTTTTGAGACAGGCTTAAAAGTTCATCCTGGCTAGGCTCTGCATTTGAGATCCTCCTGCCTCAGCCTCTTGAGTAGCTGAGATTAAAGGCCTGCACCACCACAGTTGTGAAGAAAGTGATGTCATTAAGGGCCTAATCCTGCTGAGTTGTAGCAGGTCATTGAAATGATCCCTGTGAGCATTTTGGAAACTGTTCAAATATTTGGGGAAAGCAGTCCTATAAAGTATAGAGAAGACTTTGAGTGTTCCAAACACAAAGAAGTGATAATTCCTAAGACAATGGATGTGTCATTTACCATGAGCTGATCATTACTGATTATATATATGTATTTAAATGCCACACTGTCACCCATAAATATGTACAATTACTATGTTTCAACTAAAATGTGTATTTGAAAAGCTGAGAGATCCTTTGTTCATTAGTCAGTGGAAAACCTGAAGCACTGAGCCTGGGGCTATTCTTACATATGTATTCTGACAAAATTCTAAAACACACAGAGGAAGGAGGGTTATTCTTTTGCACTTCTGGTCACAAACTTTATCTTCTCTTTCCCTGAAAATTTACCCTGGGTGACCATTTAACTGTATTGTATCTTCCATAAAACATTAAGGAGAAATACTTAACCACTCCACCTTCTTCCCCACATATGTTTATAAATGGAAAATGATGTCAAAAACTCTGTTGTATCTCAAGACTACTTTCCTACATGGTTAGTCCCTTTTGACCATTTTTACTCAGCAAGGCTGTTGCCCTTTACATTCCAGGTATCCAACATGGCCCTCTCTCATCTCCTTTTCTTCTTAACTGGCTTATCTTCCTGGCTCCCCTGTCATCATTAGCCATCTGTCCTCCTACTGGTCTCCATTCCTGGAAATTCTGTGAGAATATGCACATAGTCATTGAGTAATACGTGCAGATCACTGCTTATACTTGCACATCTGCTTATACGTGCAATCTGATTGGGTTGCTGTCATACAATACCATAGACTTGCTTGTTTAAACAGTAGAAATTTATTTTTCAGTTCTGCAGGTGGAAAGGCCGAGATCTGGGTGCCAGTGGGCCTGGTGCCAATGAGAGTTGGTAGCCTGGCTTGCACAAGGCCATCCACCTCCTTGTTCTGTTCCCACATGGCAAGAGGGGAAAGGGAGATAAGCATTCCTGTAAGGGCCCTGATTGTATCCATGAGATCTCCACCCTCACAAAAAGAGAGAAAGGAGCGGGAAGGGAGAGAGGAAGGGTCAGAAGGAGAGGGAGAGGGCTTATCCATTTCTTAGGAGGCACTGATTTGGTTCCTTGGGCTTCATTCTCAGGACCTAATTATCTTCCACAGGTCTTGCCCCCTCATATATTGTTGTAGGGGTCAGGACTGTAACGTGAATTTGGAGGGAATGCAAACCCTCATTTCATGGTGCCGGGTTAAATTTGTGGATAATACAGAGATGCAGAGATATATAGACACACAGATTTTAAAATTGTATTGGCAGAAATGGGCAGATTCCTCTAAGTAGTGTACGTCCAGCTCTGAAACAACAGGGGTGCTGTTGTGAGGCACTGTCCCTATCCCTCAGGAGCAACACCCTCCTCCCAGATCCCTGGGGCGTTGGCTACTTAAGACTCACACCTGAGTACCCTCTGAGCCTCTCACCTTTCGCCTGCCGAAGGAGATGCTCTGCCTGAGCATACCTGGCCACTTTGGGAGCTACACAGGCCTGGCCCCTTTGGCTTTGTTTGAAACAGCTCTTCAGGGTCCTTCAAGGTCCAGGTGTCTGTGACACTGGCATAACAGCTCTGTGACTTCTTTCTGTCACCATTTTTTTTTTTGTCTTTTTGAGACAGGGTCTCACTACGTACTCACTATGTAGTTCAGGTTGATCTCGAACTCACAATGATCCTTCTGCCTCAGGCTCCGGAGTGCTGGGATTACTGGTGTGCGCCCCCACACCCGCCTTCTGTGACCTTGCTTCTATTACTCCAATATGGATGTGGCCCCTCAATAAAAATAAAAACAGGTAAACAAATAAGCATGCAACAATTAGAAAATCTCTGGGACTCTTTTCCTTGGGAATTCAACCTCAAGCAAAAATATGCCTCTTGCCCTTCCTCTATATTATATATATTTTTTGAAGATAAAAGAATGAAAACATATTAACCAACACACACACCTTTACAAAATAACACATAATGCAAGTAATACAGAAAAATGGATTCTAATAGTTAAAAATTTAAACAGATTAAAACTGGCTGAACCCCTTCCCAACAGGTTACAGGGACCCATTACCTCTTTCTTGCTCCCAGTTCTCTTTCTCCTGGATGTTCTGAGAGCTCAGAGCTTTCTGGGTCTAAGGAAGAGTTCAATTTTCAAGTGGGATGCCCTAAGAGTTAATGTGTCTTCTTCTGTTCTGCTGGACCCTGGTTTCTACATCTCAGAGCTGTCCAACCTTCAGAACTGGGTTGCTGCTTAGCAACTGAATTCCATAACTCTTCAGTATTATGGGATTTCCTGGATTCCACTGCTTTCAGTATTACAGGGATTTATCCCTCTTTTGGGAATTCCTGACTCTAAAACATTTGTGCTAATATTTTGTTCCAAATTTTCTCTTTTGCTTATATATTTATGATGAAAAATTAAATATGTCTGGAAAGACTTTTTATCAGAACATATTACCATTTCATATATAAAAAATAAAACATTTACTTCAATAATTAAAATTATTCAGAATTAGTTTACTATTATTTTATAGGAAATTGAGACTAAAGTTGACTGAAACTCTTTACATAAAACAAAATATCTCTATAGCAATAAAATATTTTTAATATTTATTAAGAATAATAATAATAAATAATAAATTTAATAACTTAAAATATACATTTAGAGTATTAATAGCTTTCTATTTCAATAGTTACCGTTCTCTTCAGGTAGTTTTATTTAGTATATTTTTTATTAAGGCATTGCTAGGAGGACATATTTGTTTATATTTTTGGTATTTGAAAATATTAAAATGTCTTGAAAAAACTGATATTTTTATCTACAATTAAGATGATTGATAGCTCCAACTATACTCAAGGCAGTAGGTTCCACTCAGGTGAACCACCAAGTTCAAGATTGACATTTATAGCAGAGATAGTGTTTCTGAAAGTGTGGTCTGTGGATTAGGATTTCTCAACCTCAGAACCAAGAAACACTTTTCAAGTAATTCTCCTGTGGATCAAGTACAAGAGTCATGCGCCAAAGTTGGTCCACGTTAGCCAAAGTGAAAATCATTGAGCATTGCTTTTTCAACTGTTGTTTTTAAAGTACTGTTAAAAGAACTGTTAATGTTTAATTGTTTGTTCAATCTTACATGCCTATATCTGGTTATCTTGGTAACCAATTTGAAGATAATATGTAATACAACAACCACTGCAAATTTCCTATCCTTGTTTGAAATTCTTTATCATTTTTATTATTTTTGTGTTGTTTTGTTTATGTCTTTGTGTTTATTAATTTGTTTTTGTACTTTTCTCTTTAAAGAAAAAAAACTTGCCCACTTTCATTCCTAGGAAGAGCTATTAGAATAGGGGGACCTTAAAGATCACCTATTCCAAAAAGCTGCTTCCGAGGGAAAACCAGCAAGATTTACAGAGCTCAGTGACTTAGCACAAGTTCAAAATATGAGAAGGGAAGACAGAAAAAATGGTTTTCACTGGGAGCAATTGGGCATTTCCAACATGTTATATGAATAGTAATTGGTCTTTGCTCTGCCATAAGGTGAATCCTATCTCACTGATTTTTCTGTTATTTTGTTGTACCGCTTAATCTGTCTCTTTTCCACACCCTTTAAATACAGAATTGAGCAATAATGTGGATATATAGGTGTATGGTAGTGACTACTTATGTGTATCATGACTCAAGAGTTCATTATTTCTCCCTCTTGGTAATCCTAAGTAAATTAGTGGCTATCTCTCAGGAGTACTGGAAGAGTATACTACATGTATTCGTTACTTTTCTCTCATTGCTGAGACAAAATACCTGACACTCAGAATTAAGGAACAAAAGGTTTATTTAGCTCACAGTTTGTGGAGGTTTCAGTCCATACTCAGCTGGCTCCAAGGCAGAGTGGCACATAGTACAGGGCAACCATTCATGGCAGCAGAAGACACCAGAAGTCGCAAGATCAAAAGGGAGGAGTGGCAGCAAACAGCCTCTTTCTGTCCCTTACATATGCAAAACTACCTGCCCCAGGGCAGGTGTAGCACTCACACCTATAATACCAGCATTAGATCATGGATGGATCATAAACTCTAGAAGTCCACCCCATGACTGCATGAGGTTTTGGGGGGAAATGCAGACACAAACCATAACATTCCACCCCTGGCCCCTCAAGGGCTCATGTACATCCCTTTATGAAGAAGACGTTTTAGTCCATCTTTGAGAGTTGTCAAAGTCTTAATACTTTCAGCACTGAAAAGTCCAAGTCCCAAGTCTCCTCCGAGATGCAAGGCAAACTCTTAGCTCTGAACCCCTGTACAAATGAAAAGTCAAACACTTCCAATATTCACTGGCACAAAATAAACATTACCATTCCAAAAGGTACAAACAGAGGATACAAAGCATGGAGACCAAAGTAAGTTCAACATCCAGCAGGGCAAACATTAAGTCCTGTAATTCCACATCCAGAATCTGAAGCAACTCGTGACACACTGTGAGCTCCAAAGGACTTGCATGACTCCACCTCTATGGCACCTCCAGTGGTTACAACTCCCTGGGCTTCTCTCTTGGGCCCCCTTTGCTCCCTCCTTGCAGCTCTCCTTAGACAATCCACATTCATGGTTTTTCCAAACTTCTGAGGTTTCCACTGAACCTCTGGCTTCTCACTCACAGCTTCACACACTGCCCTCTCAGGGGCACACTGAATCCAATTCTGAGGAGCAAATTCTCTATGCCACTGCCATTCTGGAACCTGATGAGGCCTCTGCTTCCACCATTCTGGAACATGGTGCTCTGCGACTTTCTTCTCAAAGCAAAATCTGTCACCTTTGCAGTTTTGAGGCTGCAAAGGGTGAAGACTTGCTGCTCCTAATGATGCCCTCAGGTCATCTTTTCTATTCTCTTCTTCCCTCTCAGCAATAGCAATCTTCTCAGCCTTATCTTTGTAGTCCACAGGTTTACTGCAGCTTCCTTTCTGGCCAAACTCACATTTTAAATCATCCTGCTGGGCTCTTTGCTCTTGATTCTCAATATAAATCTGGCTAAAAGCCCTCAACAATAGCCATGACACTACCTCAACATTTGGCTGCCTTGAAATTCTTTTGCCAGATTGATTAGTCCACCACCCTTAATCTCAGTCTCAAGCAAAGTCTCTGGACACAAGTAAAATGCAGACAAACTTTCTACCAAATCACAACACACATCATCTGGAGTCCAACAACCAATGCAGTCCTTCTCAGCAGAAACCTCCTGAACCTAGTCTTTACCAGCAGGATTTCTACCAGCCTTCTGGTCTTCTGAGCTCTGACCAGAATCTCCCATAGAGAAGAGCTGAAGGTGTTCCAGCTGTACTCTTTCAGACAACATCTCTGAACCTTTCCAAACACTTCCTACAAGCCATTTCCAAAGGCTCTTGAACCACATGGTCAGGTATAGTCACAGAAACAGCCCAACTCCTTGTACCAAATTCTGTCCTGGTTACTTTTCTCTCATTGCTGAGACAAAATACCTGACACCCAGAATTAAGGAAGGAAAGGTTTATTTAACTCACAGTTTGTGGAGGTTTCAGTCCATACTCAGCTGGCTCCAAGGCAGAGTGGCACATGGCACAGGGAAACTGTTCATGGCAGCGAAAGACAGCAAAATCAGCAAGATCAAGAGGAAGGAGTGGCAGCAAGAAGCCTCTTTCTCTCCCTTACATATGCCCCAGGGCAGGTGTAGCACTCATACCCATAATCCCAGCATTAGACCATGGATGGATCATAAACTCTAGAAGCCCGCCCACATGACTGCATGAGGTTTTTTGGAGGAAGTGCAAGCACAAACCATAACAGTACACACAGAACAAAGAACTGTAGGAACTGGAATTGGGGGACCTGTGTTTAAATTCTTATTAGCAATCACCAAATGTAAAAGGGCACTTGAGGTTTTTTGGTTATTGTTAATAATATCTAAATGCATAACCTTCAGAGAGTCACATATCTAGATTTCAATGCTTGTTCTTAGATTTACTTAAAAATCTGTTATAAAAATATGAGAAAAATGCTTAGAAAAGTTACAAGCAGAGCATAAATTATGCTATTGTTACCTTAGTTATTACTAAAGGTAATACATATACTGTTGCAACTATTTTTAAGTGTAAATCATTGACATTATGATTTTTTTCTAAAACTATTTGTTATGACTTCAAAAGGCATAGTAAAATAAAAATAAAGAAATGTCAAGCATCAAGGAGGCAAAGGAGGATATAAAGCTTGGTAGAGTGTAGGCGCATGGGGAGCCACGGGCGGGGAGTGCTGGTCGTCCGGCTAACTCATTTCCTGCTTCGTAGGTCCCCGGAGGGAGGGCCTCCAGCACATGGGGAGCCATGGGTGGGGAGCGCTGGTCTTCCAACCAGCACCTTGCTCCCTGCCTCATAGGCCCCCGGAGGGAGGGCCCTGGGTGCACGGGGAGCCATGGGCGGGGAGCGTCTGTCTTCTGGCTGGCTCACTTTCTGCCTCATAGGCCCCCGGAGGGAGGGCCCCTGACGCACAGGGAGGCATGCGCCTTCAGGTCGGCCGCTGCTGCTCAATTGAGAACTATCATGACACAGAGAAACAATGACACAGTTGGCCCACCATGCACCAGCTGCAGATGCCCACCTAAGGACGTGTGTGAATCATTCAAACATGGAAAAACCCCTGGGAATACATGCTATACAACGGGCCAGTCTTGCTCCTGCCATTGAGAACCAGAAAGGTCTAGAGTTAGCAGAGGAGCAGCTGCTGAACAAGGACTCAGAGAACATGAGAATGCAGACTAAGCCCGAGGGGTCAGA